TCGCCGGTCCCTCCCAGCACGCGCCGGGCCGCAGTGTCAGGTTTCGCCGCGGCCGCCCGCTGTTTTCCAGCCCCTCCGCCAGGAATAACTCTTCTCCTTGGCCATTTTGGCGTTGTGCAGCACAAGGTGGGAAAGCCACCAGGAAAAGGCGGGAAAAAACGTGGCATTCCCGCCAGGTGCCGGCAAGCTGCTGGAATCCCTACGGACACAAGCGCTATCCGCGGAGAGCCGCATCCGAAACGTAACGTTCCTGCAAGGAAAACTTGTGGGCAGGCAGATGCTCTGCCTGGGAAGTGGAGCAGCTCGGTGGCTCCCCAATTCCCGGCCATGGGAGCTTGCAGGGCCGTCAACTTGGATGCTTCTGGTGGGAGAATGGGATACGCAGCAGCGTTGGCTTCCCTGCTTTTGCCTCGCCAGCAGTTTGTGCAGGGAATTGGGGAGCGCTTGGTCGCTGTCCCTTCACTGCCGCTGGGTTTGAGGTGCTCAAAGCCACTGTCTCCTTGGAGCCACTTAGCTGCCTGGCCTGGAAAAAGTCCTGATAGCGGGATCCATGGAAGACCTTCCATCAGCCCCCTTGTCTGCAAGGCGAGGGATCGCTCTGATTTAGGCACCTGCTGGTTTGATATTTTTCTTTTCCTTCTTTCTTCTTCTACCCAACCATGTACTTAGACGAGAACCTCCTACCCGCAGCCGTTCCTAAAGAGGTTTTCCCTCTGGAAAGAGGCTTTTCCACGTGGGGCCGAGCGTGCCAAGCGGATGCGCTCGGCCTTGGGTAAGAGTTGTGCAACGTGTTTGTTTAGCTGCTGGCCCATCTCTCCTGCCAGCGTCGGGGTTGCCCCGGCCAAAGCATTCCCAGCCAGAAATCCCTTCCGTAACTGCTCTTATATATTTGGCCTTCGGGAATAACACGGAAGTTGGTTTTAGCTTCAGATTTTGTTTTTTTGCCTGCAAATCACGCTCTTTCCCCACATCCCGAAGTGAGGAGAGGGAAGCAAGCCCCAAAACAGTGTGAAAATCGGGTATGAAATAACTGAGCGTCCTGCCTAGGTGCCTGGTTCGAGATGCCCGATGATTTTCCAGAGGGTGCTCCCGAGGGCGGCCGCAGCGGG